TGGTTTCCGCCCAAGTTGGAGGACTCCACAACCATCTGGAGGAGGAGAAGGAGGACTTCACATCTTGTGAAGAACTCTGAGTGCTGTGGAGCCTAACAAACCCAGCGTGTGCCTTAAGAAGGATATAGGGGCCTGATCAACCTCTAGCCTCTCCCCATCGCCGCCTAATCCCTCGACGTACCCTTCCCTGCGCGCTTTCGTTCCACGGAGCCTAGCAAACTCCGTGTGTGTGTGTATCCAGAGCTCTTTCCGAGTTATTTCAAGAGGCTCGAGTTTTTCTACGGGTCTTGTTCGTACGAGTTTTATAACTGCAACTTAAGCGAAGTTTTCTCCTGCCTGCACCGCGACCATCTACGGTGTAAGTAAAATAATCTTTAATCAACCGCTACGTGTCCGTGCCTAATTCTAGTCCGCCGGCCTGCATTCCCCGACCCATGTGCCAGGGCTGCTGGCCACAGCCCGCCGCGCGCCCCCGAAAGCCTTGGACTGCTCCCGGCTTGCACATCTGGGAGAAGAGAAAAGCATAACTAAGCATAACATAAATACCAGCCTATCTCGCTCTTTCTTTCTCTTTATCCCTGTGGTCCACATGAATCATAAGAGGTTTCTGATGCCATCCATTTCTTTCCATAGGAATTCATGGCTTGTTTGTCTCTTTGTTTGTTGTTATATTATTATTAGATATAATTTGACATCATAGAAGTTTTATAGTAATTTGGAGGAAGACTTACAGTGGCAGCTATGTGAATAATGGATTTATGGGAAAGGATAAAACTTGCCCATTCAATAGATGCTTCCCCAGACTAAAGGAATCATTTGAAGTAGAAGACTTCCAAAGGGTCTCTAACATTGAACATCAAAAAAGTAGCATTCCAGCAAAATACTTGAAACCCCACTGCATCTGGTCTAAACGACATTAATAAGCAAACTAAATCAAAAAGAAAAATGATAATACTCTGTATTTTTTGACAGAATGACAAGCAAAATCTTACCAAAATGTACAAGCATTCATATTGACCGTTTAATTATCATGTAAATTACTTTGTTTCAAGAGAAATATCAACTAAATCATTTTGTATGGTTTTTTTTTTAATCTGTAACCAAATATAAAATGTAGCTCTTACAGCTATTGAGTCATTGCTGTTTATTGAATTATATTTTGGCTGTATTAAAAAGTAACAACTACTAAAAGTTCAATGTTTTGAATATTAAAAAAAGGAAATAGTTGACATAAAAGAATAAGGGCCTGGAAAAAATGCTTTTCCCATGTATTAGGCTTTGCCAAGGGAGAACAAAAAGCCTATAAAACCACTAAGTATTTGCCTCCCTCAAACAGAGAAGCAGCCAAAAACTTTTTCCCCAAATTTTAGAAAAAAGTACTATTCATCCTGAGCCACTGTATGCCAATTTTCACATGGAAACATTTTTTTTCAAGTTATAGGAGAAACCTCTGACAATAGAGGTTTATAACAGCAAATACAAGTAACCCTTAATCAGAGCATTATAATCTTCTTAAAATAACCATAGCTATAAACAAATCTAATAAAAAGACCTTCCAGAGCCCCATAGCTACTTCAGAATTTCCTGACATGTTGGTTCTTATTTGGAATTTGATTTCTATGGATTTCAACAGCCAGCTTATTTTCCTGCTAATTATCTGAATGTCACCCTGCTGCTCAGCCAGTATTTTTGCTACTACTATACCTTTATGCTTTCTGTGTGGAACAGAAAATGAAAGAAACCTGTTTCTGAATAAACATTTTTGACAGAATGAAAGAGTAGAAATCTTACCAAAGTGCACAAGCATTTATATTAATCATTAAAATAACATGTAAATTAATTTTGTTTCAAGAGAAATATTGACTAAATCACTTTGCATTTTTTTTTTCTAAATCTCATGTAACAAAGTAGTTTTCATAGAACTGGATTTAGGCAATTAAAAAGGGAATACATTCCAATTATACATAATCAATACACTCCAGTTTCATATCTTTCCTATACATCCAAGCAATTATCTATGAACATCAACTGTGCCATTTAGGTACAATTCAGCACTAGAAGTGATATAGCCATCAGTTTAGAGACAGCACCAAGACACATTTTACTGTGCACCACCGCAATTTTTTCCTGGCCCTTAAACTGGCAGGCTAAGATGGAAAGACATCCTTTTTACCCCTACTTCACCAGTACAGCTACAACAGGGCCAGGCAAAATCTGGTTCTCAGTGATTTAGTTCAAGCAAGATATAAAATCATGAAGCCCATCAAAAGCACGCAAGTTCTGTGTCCTTAGAGTGGCTGTTACTCATCTCTCACCTTTCTGTAATATTTCAAAGCAGCTCAATTAAAGTGATATTTAATAATGTCAATTTAAATATTCGTCCTTTAAAAGATTTGTGATAGAAATTTCCAATCGAGTTGTATAAAACATTGGGTAATCCCTTCACCTCTATGCAAAGGATTGCCCAATAACATTGTAGGCATTCACAACCAGATGGATCAATTTGGTATTGGGGATTACACATTTAAAAATTTAAGTTTCCTGTATCTATTTAAATGATCATTCTATATCAATTCATATCCATCTATATGCTAAACTACTTATATGTTGCCACTAAATAATTATATATTGTAAAGGCAGAGGCGAAAGAAGAGTTATATAGTTTCACCATATGTTTTTTAATTACCTTCTCCAAATGGTATAAAATGTGACTCCACCACAGACTATAATGAGGCCAGAAAACAAATGTTGCTGAAGATGTTGCAGTCTCAAGCAACACGGAAAAATTGTAAACAGATTATTATGGAAAGAAATTCTTAGAATACAGACAAATAAGCCCATATTTATTACTTTTGCAAAGCTTTTTGAACTACATATTGAAATTAGCTAGCCACTTACCATTAATCATTATTTATTAAGTGTATTTATTTATTAAGATTCATTTATTTATTAAATTAATTTGTGTGAGCTCAAGAAACGATACTAAATTAGCTATTTTGAAACATTACCTTAGGAACATCTTAATAAGACAGACATGATGGATGAATTATTTTAGCCCTTCATGCTTCATTCTCTGGACTATCTCCTGCCTTGTTCAAGATTTTGTCTACACTAAAGATTGAACTCCATACTAATTCATTGCTTATTAGATATCATGTGATAACTAGACACTCCACAAACATCTGTCCCAAAATACAAATCTCTGTCATTTACACTAGGCTCAGACTAAGGTAACTGTCCATATCTGTGGAGCATCTGGACTAGTACATGCAAATATGTTAGCTAAGTGGCAATCAGATAATTCCAGTTTAGACATGTTCTACTATGTGAAGCAGAAGCACAAAGTATACGCTTCTTATCTAAAACACATTGCTGCTTTTCTTCTCATAACCCTCATTCCTGGATCTGTTCCGCTGTTTTCATCAAACAGACAAGAAATACATGGCTGTGCAAATTATAGCGGTAGCCCTATGGGGAACTTGAGAACTTTAGCTTGGAAACATGCCTCCCTGAGTAGTTCTTAATCACAACTAATTTTAAAAAGAACATTATAGGCATAGCTTTAAACAGCCCTACCTTAATCTAGCTATGACCATTTGATGCTTTGCTGTTCTTTTGTGCATTCAGCCCTTGTGCTGTTGCTGCTGCAACACCTCCTGAATACAACCATCCTCATGATTTCGCTACTGCTTATACATGTGCGGGCTGGGAGCGACCCGAGCCCTTTTCCGTGCTGCACGCGGGCTGTGGCCAGCAGCCCGGGCACGCCGGGTCGGAGAGGGAGGCCGACGAGCTGGAATTAGGCACAAACGCTTAGCGGTAGTTTTAAAGATTGTTTACTTACACCAAGATGGCAGTGGTGTAGGCTGGAGAACATGCTTGAGTTGCGGTTACAGACACAGACAACACAGACGGTCTCATGGAGGTTGCTAGGCTCCACGGAACAGAGCTCCGGATGCTCTGGGTGAACGAGCCACCAAAATCAGAATCGTAGGTACGTCTTATAAAAGTCGCGCTCGAAGATGGGAAGAGGTGGGCGATGGATCAGGTCGCCAAACTCCTCTGAATCTCACACAGGGTCTCTATTACCCTGCCGTGTATTCAGAGTCCCCACGAGATGGATGTGGAGTCCTCTTCGGCTTGGGCGGAAACCGCTCAAGCCTCTTATATGGTTAACAGGCCAATCGTTAGCCGCCACGTGGGAATAATTTAGAACTAACCAATAGCGGGGAACGAATTTACATACCAGTGGTGGGAACTCTTTTGCACCGTGCATTCCTCTTGCAACATGAGCAATGCACTCTGCAAAAGAAGCTGCAGAAAAGGCGGGAAACTCGTCCCTGCACCGGGGTTTTCCTCTGCAACAGGAAACTCTCCCGTGCAATGAAGCTGCAACTTGGCGGGGATAATTCTGGTGCCGAAGCACACACAAAATCATGCCTTTGGGTCATGACAATACAATCCATCCTCACTCTGATGTGCAGTCAGGGCATATGTTCTGCTCTTTGGCCATGTAATACATCTTCATTGTGTGGGGATCATGATGGGTGGATTTACTGTCTCTTCCCTGCATTGGAAGTGAGAAGAGGATAGGAAGTGTAGCAAGAGATACGATTAGCTAAAATACTCTCCAACTCTCTTTGAAGTAAAGGACAATAAGAAGTTCTTGTTTAGGTATGTAGGCAGTAGAAGGAAGCAAATGGAAGTGTGGGACCCCTGTTTAACACCTTGGGACAGCTGGTAACCGACATTCATGGAGAAAACTAACCTTCCGAATGCCCACTTTGCTTCGGTATTTCACCAGACCACGTGGAAAGTCAAGCAAGATAAGGCTCATAGGGGACACGATGGGACTGACAGCCTCCCCACTGTGGATGGTGAGTGGGTGCAATACCAACTAGAAAAGCTAGACATTGACAAGTCAGCGGGACCAGGTGGATTCCATCTGAGAGTGCTGAAGGAGCTGGCCGAGGTCATCATGGAACCCCTGGCAAAGCTCTTTCAGCATTCGTGGTGCACAGGGGAAATCCCTGAGGATTGGAAGAAGGCCAACATTGTGCCCATCTTCAAGAAGGGGAAGAGGGAGGACCCAGGCAACTATAAGCCAATCAGCCTAACCTCCATCCCCTGCAGCTGTAGTAGGGCCAGTCTCCATGGGGCAGGCAGGTGACAGGGTCCTGTCCAGGGCTCCAATGCACTGGGGAAATTCCAGAGCACGGAATGCCATGACCACCCCCTCAGGGCCATTGACGTGGAGTACTGTGTCACCGAGCACATCTTGGAGAGCACTGCATAATTCCAGGATGGCCTCCCCAGCAGTGGGAGCCTTCGCCCATGGTGGCCTCGCCCATGCCAAACAGGTGACTGATGTATCAGAAGCTGGCGGGCATGGCCAGCTTCACCAGGGCAAGGGCCAGCTGGGTGTCCATGGGGAGGGCCAGGCACAAGCCGTTGTCCTGCTGCTCTAGGTGGGCCCAGAATTGCTGAACATGATCCCAGAAGATGGCCCAAGTGAGCCAGAATGTATCTAGCTACTGCTCATCATCCTAGGTGTGATGGACATCATGCCACCACCAGTCCTGGCTGGCGCTACGGGCCCAGAGCTGGTGGCGCTAGAGGCTCAGGGAGGTGATGGATAGAGGCCCAGGGAGGTGATGGCAACCCCATCAGTGGCATCCTGGAGACCCTCATCAGTGTCCCTGCTGGCAGCAGCTGCGCAGTTGTGGTGGAGGCCCTGGGACAGCACACTGCAGCCAGACAGGTGGTTGTTGTGTGTGGGGGAGCCAGGTGGGGCGAGACAGCCATGGCCCAGGTGGCAGACAGCATGGCAAGTGCAGCAGCCAGTGCGGCAGCCAACAGGAGCATGGGGCACCGGTCGTTGCTGCCAGGGGCAGGGGCTAGAGCAGGCATAGCACAGGAGGCAGAGTAGCCAAGGAGAGAGCTGCCATGTGCTGCCCTTGTGCTTGGCATGCTGCTCCTGGACAAGGGGCTGGACAAAGAGCAGAGAGTGGGGCTGGCTTTTAAAGATGCCTTCCAGGTGCTGGCAGCTGCAGCCAGGGCCTTGAGCTCCCCCCTGTGGCAGCAGAGGCCCACTGCAGGACTGCAGGAAATTTAGTGCAAAGAGCAGCAAATCTGCTTCTTATCCCGATATGTGTAGACACCTGTCTGAAAGGGTTTACACCAGAATAATTTAAACCAGAGTAAATTTAAGCCAAATTAAATCCTTGTGTAGACATGCCCTATAATGTTTTACCTTATCTTTATAAAAAGTCAAAGAGCAGATGACTAACACAATTATCATCAAGGACAAGTCAGTATACAACCACATGTAGGGAAGAAACAAATTAGAGATTACTGAGATAAAATGGATATTTTCATATCAGAAAGGCCTGATTGACTGTTTAAGGCACTGACTGATTCTATAGAGATAAAGTGAAATCCGAGAGCAGTGGAAGGGGGTAAATACAGTGGTCATCTTTAAAATGGTAAGAAAGAGGAGGGCAGAGCAAGGCAGGAGGCAGTGCACTGCCATTGTGAAGCCAGGTCACCTGGCTGTGTGTCAGTCTTTAGGTTAGGGATAGGGGTTCCATGCCAGAAGAAGTGATAGGAAAGGGTTCCATGACTAGGAAGTTTGAAAACAACTGGACTACAGAATACAATAAAACAGTCAATTTTTAAGCCGCGGATGAAAAGGTAGTAAGGAATAGTCATCATGGATTTGTCAAGAGCAAAACCTGTCTAAGCAATGCAATTTCCGTAACAAAATATTGGGTGTTGTGGATGGGAAGGCAGAGGACTATAGATGCAATATACTTTATTTTAGTCAGGCTTGTATTACTGTCTCTCAAAACATCTTTCATAAATTAGCAAAGAAAAATGGTTAAAGATGAAGATAAACTGGTGTATAACTGACTATGAGGTGGTTAACCACTGGACCAGGCTACCAAGGGGAGTTATAGAATCTCCACTTGGAAATTTTCAAGAGCAGGTTAGACAGCCACTTTAGTCAAGGATGGTTGTACTTTGAGGAGAGCACTGGACTAAATGACCTGATGAGGTCCCTTCCAATCCTAGTTTCCTATGATCCTATGAACTTGGAGGAGTTAAATCCACGTCAGTCAGTTTTATAGAATTCATTACTTTCATTAATGACTTGGAAGGTAGAATTGAGTGTAGACTCATTAAATGTACATGACACTTATCTACATGGGGTAGCAGTTATCTTAGAAGACATGTTTAGGATTAAAAATTACCTTAATAAATTGATAAATTCTGAAATAAATGGGATTAAATTTAAGAAGGCCAAATGTGAAGTATGTGAAGTAGGAAGGAACAGCTACATTCACAAATGTAAATGGGAAATGATGACTACAGCACTTCAGAAAAGAATTTCTGGTATATAATGGACTGGACGCTAAGTATGAATCAACAGTTTAAAACTGCTTAGGGAAAAAGCAAATAGTCCACTGTGATGTATTAACAAAAGTATCCAATGTAAGACATGGTAAATTATTCTCCCACCTTAACCAGTGCTGGTGAGACCTCATCTGTGTTCTGTATTCAGTTTTGGGCACCGAACTTCAAGAAAGATCATCTGGGATGGTTTAAACAGGAATGATCCTACCCTCAGAAGAGGACTGGACTAGATAATCTCTTGACATCTTTTCCAGCCCTATTTTTCTACAGTCCCAAGATCTGGGAAATACAATGATGAAAAGACAGCTGGAATGAGAGAAAGCTCAGATAATAGTGTTGTTCAATTAACAAATGAGGGCATTTTTAGAATGTGGAGCCTCTGGCCATAAATAATATATTGTTTTTTGATCTGCTGGCAAACAGAATTGTGTCAGTTAGACAGATCCAATCCCTCTCATATAAAACAGAATTATGTGAGGCAAAATATGAAACAAAATCACTATTCACTAACAGAGGAAATTGTAAGAGAATATACTGTGTGAGTAGGCCTTTACCTCAGAATAATAGCCTGGAGACCTTGGTAATATGCAGCAAGGGACCTTACATATCGGTGCCAAGTATCTCCCAGTTATACAAAAGGAAATTCCTTTCAGGCCAAATGTAAAAGAAGACATTTCCCAATGGAACAATGGAAGATAATAAATCAACAGAACTGCCGCCTGCAGGAGTTAAACACTGGGATTAAAGGAAAATGTCCATCCCTTCCCAAATATTTTCCTTTAATGCTAGATTAGAAAGAAGTGAGCTGTGCTGACACTTTTAATTACCTAAGATATGCTCCATCACGGATGGTGCCTACATACATTTAGGGGAGGCATCCTAACTCATGGTGCTTTACTCAAAGTGCTCTGAGATAAAGCACCACTGAACCCAACAGATGTTTGCCTGTTGGGATGTGGGCGCTCGAGCCTGCCTGTACTGGCTCTGGCCGGCAGGCAGGGGCACTCCCAGGAGGCTGCAAAATAGCCTTGCCCAGCCTCTCCCCAGCCTTGTCTCCCTAACCTCCAGCTCTGGCCAGGGCAAAGCTGAGCCAGCAGCTGTGTGCTCCTCCTATCAAGAAGCTCAGACAGGTGTGGCAGAAGTGAGCCCCACCCCCCCATCTCTCTCACACTGCATTTTAACCTGGCCCTACTGATTTAATGGCTGTATTTGACAGTTCTACCTCATCTCATCCAGTTAGTTATCTAGAGGTTCCAACATCATGCCTTAGGGCAGTATTTTCTGCACCTGCTTATAGAACTAGTTACCAATATATATCTGCCTTTCCCTATCTTTCATTACTTAAAAAAAATTAGAAAAAATACTATTATTATTATTGGATACAGACCTGATGTGTCCCTTGCTTTATCCTGTATTGAGAAAATAGTTATTTCATAAATCTTTCCATACGTTCACTCTCTACACTCATACAGCATGCACAAGGTAAAGTAATACAGGCATAATTTAAGTAGACATTATACATTGGTCCGATATTGGATCAGTACCGATATGAAGAAGACTGGCTGTATCAGATATCGGCCTGATGGGGCCGATAATTTTGCCGATAAATGCCCATTGTGCATGCAGCTGCAACACAACACAGCATGTAGGCTCAGCAGCATGGAGAGCCGCCTCCATCTGGAAAGTCCGGTGTGGTGGAAGAGGACGGGAGAGGGAAGGGGCATGATCGAAGCCCCCTGCGATGAGGGAGAGGGCAGGGGCAGGTACTGCCCAGGCAGGACAGGGAGAGCAGAGCCATGGCTCATGGGGCTCCCGCCACTGCTTGCACCCCACGAGGGCATGGGAGGGGTGTGCCCCCTGGATCTGTGAAGCAGGTTGCAACCAGGACTGCATGAGGCTCTTCTCGCCAGGGGCTGAGTTCGGAGCGGGTGCTAGAGGTGCTGGGAGGATGCTGCATCCACCCCAAATTTTGCCGCCACTCCGCTCCCAGCACTGCTGCCACCACCAAGCTCAGTCCCAGCTCTTCCTGGCACATGGGTGGAGGCAAGGCGTTGAGCTGGGGCTGCCCCAAGGAGCAGTAGCACTGAGAGCAGAACGAGGACGAAATTTGGGATGGATGCAGGATCCTCCCAGCGCTGCCAGTGCCCGCTCTGAGCCCAGCCCCCACTGAGAAGAGCCCCACGCAGCCCCAGCTGCAGCCTACCCCGGCTCATGCTGCGCTGTGCTGATCTGGGGGACACACACAGCCCCTGCCCTCCCAGGGTGCAAGCAGCAGTGGGAACCGCCTCCCTCGCCCCAAGAGCTGTAGTTTTCCCCCGCCCCATTCCTCCTGGGCAGCACCTGCCCCTGCCTCCTCCCTCACCAGGCGGGTGATCATCTGCCCCCTCCACACCCCTTCCCTGCCCCTTCCCCTGCTCCTGC